GTGACCTCGGTCCGTGCTCGCGGACTCTGCTCCCTGGAAAGTCTTCACAGAGTTGAGGCTCATTGGCGCCTTTCTTTCTTCTCCTGTGAGTGTTGATTCCCCCCCCCCCCCTCCGTCTGTGCCACATGGCTGGCCTCGTGTTTCGTTGCAGCATGTTGCCCCGGAGCCTGGGCGCAGTCCTCATCAGTAAGTGCGATGCCTTTCAAGCAGAGGCGTTTATTGGCTACTGAGCGCTGGCTGACTGACGCTGACGAGGGCGGTACGCTGAATCCGGAGCGCTTTCAGTGCTGATGGGGTTCCAGCATGTTACCTCCGCATGGGGACGGGCAGGAAGTAACACTTATCCCTCCTGATCTTCAGAGCAGCGTCCAGCCCCTGCAGAACCGCCCGGGTGCAGTAACACCCCCTGTCTCCCGGCTGGTTTGGCAGGTGAGAGTTTCCCGTTGACTTTGCCCCCTGCAGTAATCAGTGATGTTGCGAGTTAACAAGCAAACCCTGCAAGACGGATTATTAAATGACAGTCCTATTGGTGTGGCTCGCGCCCCCCCCCGCAGGGGACAGTCCGGCTCTGTACCCCCAGGACTCTGCAGCTGGATGTTGGCATCAGCGTTTCACTGTAATACAGCTGTCTGTCTGAGCCAGAGCAGAGATTGGGCACCTTTCGGGGGGGGGGGGGCACTTTTGCTTCTAGAAAATTTTGATCCTGTCGCTGAGTGTAGAAGATGATTTCAAGAAAATGTCTGGCTGGTTCCTGTCAAAAGTGGTGGGGGGGGGGTTTGGGGGGGGGGCTTCTGTACGAAAGGGAGGAAGAACATCTTGAAGTGGCGAAGGGGGGGGGGGGGGATGTGATCCCAGACTCTCCCAAAAATAAAACCCAATAACAGCGTCTCTGCCACGGCCCTGTAATTGAAGCCCTCTGGGATCTTAAGGGTGACGGACGGCTTCTCAGGCTGGAGCCAGGCAGTGGGGCGGCCTGCTCTCCATCACACGCCAGCCGACGGGGTCCTGCTAGGCCTCCTGAAGGAGCCCAACTCCGCTTCCGTGCAGGAATCCCCAACACAGCCCGGCTGGCTGCTCCTTTGCTCCTGACGCAGAGGCAACCTTAACTGTTAATGTTGCCTCCCCCCCCCATCACCTTCACATGCTCCTTCCTGCTGTGGAATAAGTGTGCCAGGTCACCATGGCGACACACACACACCCCCCAAATCCAGGTCCAGCACTGAGCTCCGGGCTCCACATCAGCGCCCAAAATCAGCCATTCGGGGGCTGTGCATTCCAGAGGCTTGGAATACACTGGGAGAGTCAGCCCCCCCCCCCCAAAAAAGAAAAGGCGTCAAAGTCCTCCTCAAGAAGCCTCTGGTTTTTTTTCTGTTTTTTCCATCCTTACCCCAGTGTTGAATAGAGCTGATTCATATTCCATATGGCAGGAAGTAATGAAATGGTTTAGTGTTCTGTTCATGGCTGGGGGTGCAACTGGCCCGTGTCAGTTTGTCTGTGTTTGTTTTCAAGTGGACCAACTCCATGATGTCCCGCGCCGATTCTGCTGCTGTCACTGGAAGTACAGAGCCCCCGCCCCCCCCCGCCCCCTCAGCATGCCTAAATCCCCTCCAAACCCACAGGCGTGTGATTGGGAACCTGCACTAGTGTGACTTGCTAACTGAAAGCACTGCAATCAGGGCTTCCTGCTCTCGGCCGCCGGGAAAAGCGGGAATAGCTGCCTGTTGATTCACTCTCCTCCCGTCGGTTTCTCCCTGGGCAAAGCCTGGCACTGGGGGGGGGGCGGTCAGGCAGGGCAAGAGTGGTGCCAGGGGGCAGCAGTGTAGGGGTGTGAGTCTTGGAGGGAAAGTGTAATAAAATGCCCCCCCCCCTTCCAGCAGTGTGACAGTGAAGAACCACAAAGGAACAGTGGCACCAAAACTTCCCATAAAAATAAACTGGCCCGAGCTTTGACCTGCTTTTGGGGTTTGGGGGGGGCATTCGGTGAGTTCTGAGCGGGAATCTGTTCAAAGGCCCTTCGCAATTGGAACCGGGTGTCGGTCTTGGAGACAGTCTTAGGGCGGCATTGCTGGCTCTGGGTAGGGGGTTCGAAGGCCGAGGCGGGGGCTGCCCGACCCCCCCACATGTTGGCGTGCTAAGCTTGGCACTCCTGTCCTGCCTCTTCATCACGTCCTCCTTCACAGATCAGCTCCCCGGTCCTCCTCGTAAACGCCGACACCTGAAACGCCGACCTGCGTAATGAGTGACATTTCCAGAGCGGCTCCTCTGTACTGGGCTGCTCTGTTTGGGTGCGTTTCTGAAAATCTCCTGGCAGCGGTTTTCTGACACTCCTGTGCTCCGTCTGCCTGTGCCGGCTTGGAGAGGAAGCCGCAAACACGCTGTGTGTGTGTGTGTGTGTGTGTGTGTGTGTGTACGCGTGCGACAACCTTTTCTTCTGCTCACGGCAGGCTGTGTGTCTCTTGTATCACACACTAACCCTTTTGGCTCCCTTTAGTTCTTACAGGGGCAGGAGTGGGGGGGGGGGTATTCATGCATGGGGGTAGTCAGGCTGGATGGAGAGCCTATTACGTTATGGTCTGTCGTCTAGGCACATCAGTACGTCTTGTTCTTTCCGCTGAGAATTTGGCGCCCCCGTGTGGTTAATATTTGCTCTGCTTGACTAGTCTGTTCCCTGTGCTTCCTGGCCTGGGCCTCAGGCTAGGTGTCACCCTGCGATGCACATGTGCGGATGGATGGATGGATGGATGGATGGATGGATGGATGAGTTACTTTATATGCCCCCAGAAATGTTGCTTATATGAGGGAACGTCAATGGAAGTTGCGCTGCGCTTTAGCTGCTATCACGTGCCGACGTTCCGTTGCGTTGCTCTGCTCGCGTCGCTCCGCCAGAAGCTGTCAGCGGCTCTCCCTCTTCTCTCTGGGGATGGTGAGCACCAGGCTTCCGTCACTGCGGCACCGCCAGCTGCCGTCACGCCCACAGTCGACACCCCGGTTATGAAAGGCGATCCAGTGTTGGCAGTGACACTGGTGTTTGTTGTGGGAGGCTGGCGGGTGACCGTGCCGGCTGAGGAGTGACGTGTGTCGTGGGAGGGGCCCCCCCTTTGTGACGGCGGCGGGAATGCAGGGTGGTGATGGACGGACACACCCTGCATTTATTCTCAGTGGCCAAACCGCGAGCTGATCGGACCTCTGCTGGGTTCCGCTGTGGTTCTGAAGGATCTGGGTGCACTATGAGCATCGGCCTGTGTTCGGCTGTGCTGAGGGTGAGAGGTTTGACCCGTTGTGCCCTTCTTGTCCACACTGCCTTAGGCGTTGAAGTTCTTTGGTAACCTGCCCCCCCCCCCACCAACCGACCACCATTTTTCTACTTTTTCTGACCTCGACCTTTGCTCCATGTTCAAACTTGGCCCTCAAAAAGTCATGTGGCCCCAGATACGATGTGTTGTTTTTTTCCCTTCTAGGACTTCTCACCAGAATACCGGAGCAACTCTGGGTCCAGTAGAACCCCCACCCCCCCTGGCCACCAGTCTCCCCACAGCCCCCTGGATAGAGAGCCCCCAGTGTCCCCCCGCCGCAGGTAAGAGGTCCCCTACCTTCATCCTCGACTCTCCAGCTGCAGGTGGGGAAGTGCAGTTCCCACATGCAGGGGGGGGGGGGTATGAAACCACCGCAGACCTTGGATGCTGTTCCAGAATGCTGGGCCGGCCCTTCTGAAGAGTACTCACCCCTCAATCTTCCACAACTTTCACTATACCCCTCCCCTTTTGCATGCAGCCAATCAGAAACCTGCTTGACCTCTCTGACTGCCCCTTTTCACTTCGAGCCAATGAGGAGCGGCACAAGGACACACCTTTAACTGAGAGTTGATCTCGGTGCAGTGATTCACTCAGACACACGTTTTGCTTGCGTGAGAGTGGATGTATATTAGTAGAAGTTGCTGGGCCTGAAAACACATCTGTTGGATCTATTAATTAAAACTGAGCCTGTTGGGGGATTTCTGTCTTTGTTGTGACGCTGGAATATAGGTAAGCCTTCCGAACTCTGTGTCTTATGATCCTAAAGATGGACCTTAAAATGTCATAGTGCACCGATTGCTTATCTGGCACTGAAATTTTAAAGAAACTTATTTATGCTCTATTAGACAATGGGGGGGGGGGCTCTGTGGTTCAGCATTTTCCATTTTCCCCCGCATGGGTTCCGTGTTTCATATCATGGTTTTACCTTGTTTTATTAATGGTCTCCCAGATGTTGGTTATGAAGGCATGACAAACCAGTCTTATTTTCAGAAAATGTTTCTGGCCTGTGGCTGAAACCAGACGCCACTCGGGCTCCACCGAGGCCTTGCTGCGCATTTCTGCCCCCCCCCCCCCTGTCTTCAGAGCTGTTTGTTGCTTAAAATGGGCCCCCGTGTGTGTTGTGGGCAGACTTGACCCAGGCTCCTATTCCCTCCCCCTTGGATTTCGGGGTACCTGTCTCTGGATGTATTCCACCTTCAGGGCTTTTGGGTGTCGGGGGCCCTGGAGTCTCCGTCGGTTGGCTTTCGGTTTGAACGCTGTTCTTCCTGAACATGTAAGGAATGGAGTCCCGCATGAAGTCCACCGGATGATTTATGGTGTCTCCTGTGATCTGTTTTCAGGCATGTCACATTGCATGGACTCGGGGGGGGGGGGGGTTGTTTTGTTGTAGCAAAGCTGTTCCAAATGCTTCACAGCTGAGGGACCCCAGCTCACACATGTTACCCATCAGCCCCTCCTCCCGTTTCACTGTTCGGTCAGCATTGGCTGTGGTCTGATCCGCTGGACACGTGCGCAGGGTCCCCTGGGTAGTTCTGCTGCTGTAGTATTTCAGTGGGTGGTGCATTCTGAAATTTTGCCTTATTGAAATCGGTTGGGGGGGGGGGGGATCACGACCATCCTTGGCATGCGTGCAGATACCATGGCGACCATCGCCATCAGTCAGCACTGCCGATTCGCTGGCCCGCCCCTCTAATGTCAGCATTCCAGTTCTGCTTGGTTGATTACAGATGAGGGGCGGACTGTGCCTGCAGACCAGGTGTCTCTTCAGGACAAACAGGTTTCCAGACCTATGTTGATATGCGATTGTTTGTTTTACGAGGAGGTAGGATGGGACATCAAGGAATGACTTATCCACGCCCTAGTATTAAATGCAATGGTAATAATAGCAGTTTAGGTAGTAAAGTTTACGTAAGTTACACTAATAGATGATGATCCCATGTCTAATTAACCAAGGATCTTTTTCTCTGCTTATACTGAATAAAACATCGCGTTGGCCCTTTAAAATGCGACCATTGTGGTTAGAGTTTTAGCAGTGTGACATAGAGACCGTCACGGATGTCCTTGCCTGTTGGTTGTACTCCTGCCCTTCCCACGGCTGCCTGTGTTGCTCCTGGCTCTCGTCCAGGGTGTACCAAGCCTGTCGGCCTCATGCTGCAGGTCACGCGAAGCTACGTCGGTCAGGCCTCCTACAGCGGTGGACGGTCACTGGTCAGCTGTGGGCAGGGGGTGTGGCACTCGTCAGTGGCCTCGCGTCACACCCTCCTCCGAATGGAATTCAGATACAGACTCTTTGTCCTGATGTAGGCAGGTCACTGGCTTTGGAGTTGCACTTGCTTACGTTTTTGGTATGACGGGGCAGTTTGTCAGGGTGGGTAAAAACGTAATTCTTAGAATGTGTGAAGTGCGTATCTGAGGATCGATGACTAGTTTAGGACGTTGGTTAGTCGCCAGTGTGGTATTTCGGATGGGTCTTTTCAGGTGAGCCCCAACTGGGTCGCCTTAAGGCAGGGGTCTCCAACTCCGGTCCTGGAGAGCTACCGTCCAGTAGGTTTTCTATCATACCCGGCTTCTGATGAGCCACACCTGTTCTCAGGTAAATACCAGGAACAGGTGTGGTCATCAGAAGACAAGTAGGATAGAAAACCTACTGGATAGTAGTTCTCCAGGACCAGAGTTGGAGACCCCTGCCTTGATGACTGGTGTCCCTCCCTCACCCAGAGCGCCAGATGCATACAAACCCCCTAGGCTTCACGCGTTGCTTCTTGTTTTCTCCAGCTCCGACTTCACCATGCAGAAGTTCGACCGTGACTCCGAGGTGTACAAGATGATCCAGGAGAACAGGGAGTCGCGTACGCCCCCTCGCCAATCCAGCACCTTCAAGATGCTGCAGGAGGTGCTGGAGGCGGACGAGAATGGTGAGCCTCTGTCTACAGAAGGGGCCCGTGGGAGTGGCACTAACATGCACAACGCTGCCCCCTTACTGCGGGGGTGGCACTAACATGCACAACACTGCCCCCTTACTGTGGGGGTGGCACTAACATGCACAACGCTGCCCCCTTACTGTGGGGGTGGCACTAACATGCACAACACTGCCCCCTTACTGTGGAATCATTGTTTCAGTTCAGTTTCAGGATACCTGTGTATCACGTGTATGTTACATCGTGGGGAGTAAATGTCCTCACGATAAGATTAAACCTGTTGCTTTGGTGTTGTGGGACAATTTTTTCGGCTGTGTGTAAATAAAGCGATCTTGACCCAGGAAGTGAACAAATGGGCTGTGAAGAATGTTGCTGTTTTTACAAATGAGGCGTTAATAACACTGTCTCAGTGTTGCCGTGTGTGTGTGTGCGTGCGTGCGTGCGTGTGTGTGTGTGTGTGTGTGTGTGTGTGTGTGTGTGTGTGTTTGGGGGATGGGGTAGTGGGCCCTGCTGACGGCCCTCGTCTCTGCCCGTCCCCACAGTGGCCGCTCAGCGCTTCCCTGGCAAGCTGACCCCCAGCCCCCCCAAGCCCGTCTCTGTGGCCGGCGTGCAGAAGTTCCATGTGTGTGAGAAGTGCAACAGCAACATTGTGTAAGAGGCTCATCACTGTGCAGCTCAGTGCTGCTGCGGCTGGGGGGCGGGGGGGGCGGGGGGGGATTTATTACATGCATAAAACGGACAGCGTCACTATTTGCTTAATTTTCACAATTTCAAAATACATTACAGGAGTTCCGCATGCTTTTCAAGTTGCAGTACTGTGCAGATTAAATTACTGAACTGTGTGTAATTCAAATATGTGATAATGCAGCACAGTACTGTACCTAATATTCAGTTCAGTTCAACTTTATTTATACAATAGCCTCAGGTAGCTACCCAGAAGCAGAGGGGTTACCGCAGGGCAAACGAAGTAAAGTGGGGGAAAAAGAATATTGCAGTTTCAATTGTTTCAATATGTTGTCATGTTTAAAAAAGACCCAACGTGAACACTGTAAGAGGACTACTTGATTATTATAAGCTAATTATCTAAACAGTATTTGTACAGGAATGATTCTGTCCCAGCATTTTGATCCATATAAGTGGGTAATCACAGTAACCGTGATCACTATAAGCGGTATTATGATCTTGTATTACAGTGAGTGGATAGCATGGTGCCCCCTGCTGGTGTCTGACCGCCATCATACCCATTTCTTCCCACAGGAACCAGGCAGTGCGCATCGCGGACGAGCGCTACCGCCACCCGGAATGCTACACCTGCTCTGAGTGCGACCTGAACCTGAAGATGCGAGGCCACTTCTGGGTGGGGGACGAGATGTTCTGCGAGAAGCACGCCCGGCAGCGGTACCAGGGCCCAGGCGCCAACTACAGGGCCCCCATTTCTCCCCACCACTGAAGGCCCTCGT